ACTGTTTTGTAACGGTAACCATCAGCAGCCAATTCAGTTCCTTCTCCAACAGCGGGCTCTACTGGCTCATCTTGAGCCAATTCAGTTTTGACCTCAGCAGCAGGCTGAACGGATTCTTCTACAGCGCTCTCTTGGACTTCCTCCGCGGGTGGCAAATATTCATTTTCAGGTAATTCATTTACATCACGACGATGACGAAGTTTGAGGCGATGTACTGCCTTATAACGGTAACCATCATCGGCTAGCACAGTCTGTTCTTGTGCACCCTCGTCGACTGGCGCTAAGTATTCTTGTAYAGGCAAACTGTTGTCCACAATGGGTGGCAGATAGTCGGCCGGCAATGTAGCCGCACGAACAACTGCTATCACAGCAAATGCAATCGGAAGGAATCTCTGCAATATAAAAGAGTTTGTATAGTATTATTTCTATTTGCTATTTATTTGTTTATGATTTGTATGCGTTGAGCTATGCTTTCACTATCCTTTGAAAAAGCATAGCTTGCTTGCGTGGTGTTGCTGTTGGATTTCGCTTACCATTATTGCTGTTTAATGCTACTTAATGATTGAAGGTAAGAATGTGTTATGCTTTAATTGCAAAAAGTACATGTTATTTATACCCAAAAATATTTTGTGTTAATTTTAATATAATTACCGAAATATGAGCAAATAAATTGCTCTATCTACATGTGTGTGTGTGTGTGTTACGCACTCGCAATTACGTACACTTTAGATTTATTACATTTTCATACATACATTGTATATATGTGGTGCGGTGTATGATCGTTTTGAGCATCCCAAATGAGATGAAGTGAAGACTCAGCATTTGGATGCGGTATTTTGTTGCTGGAGTTAATTTGCTATTTAATTATAGTGCTACCAACAAGCGCCCACTGCTCAATTACGAAAGAAAAAAATCGAAAGTAAACAAATTGCCAAGTTTAGCGGTGTTTAATGAGTTGTTGCTGGTGTCACTGCACACATACATGCATACAGATAAAAATGACGATACCGAAATGCGGTCGGTCGATGTTTAAGCGCAACCTATTTTGTTGTTTTCGTAATTTATATAAACCATATGTCTATGTGTATATGTGTATTGGGCATTCTCAATTTCATGTATGTGCCCATAATTTTGGCAGTTGTGCGCATGCGCGCGGGTTGCAGAAAGCATATTCAATCCAATTCGGATGCTTCATAGCCCGTTTTCAAGTTCAAATCTAACATACATACATATGTATCTTTCAATTGTCTTCAAGTGGCGTTCTTCAAAATTTTTGCGTGTTTCATATGTTTTGTTGTGTTTCTCTTTTTACGTGGCTGGTTTTTGCTCCATTCATGTTGACGGACACTATTCAAGACGGATTTAGAGTTTAGTTCAATAGCCATTGTTTATTTTCATTTATTTGCAAAACTAATTCAGAAATTAACAAAACAAATAAAATTATAATAATAAATAAACAAAATAAAAGGGCAAAATTTGTCGGTCAACTACATTTCTATGTGAGTGAGTATGTGCGTATGTTTGCATTTACATATGTTGCCATGCGCTAGCACTCAATTCAACAATGTTACATAAGCGTGTACAGGTGTATGCATGTGTGTCTGTCCATTAAACGCTTGGCGTCGCAAATACCTTCAAATCTGCCATTCAGCTTGCCGCTCGCTCATCAGCTGGCTTTGCACAGTCAGCATTCCTACACGCACACATACACACATATGTATTAATATGCATATAATCGATACAGCTATGAGTTTACATACAAATGTACAAAGGTATTTACGCAAATGTGAGCAAAAGTCAAAAAAGACAAGCAAAAATCGGGTAGCAATCAATGGGGTTCGCGTATGGCCAATTCCACCGGAAGTTCGCAAACTACGTTGTGGCGCGTAAATCGTTAGAACAATTATCGTAATTGTTGCTTGTCGGTGGTTTATTTCGCGTTTGTGTCAAATGTGAATTCTTCGGAATCTCGCAATCAGTCTAAAAAACTTGTTTGCGCTTAAACGCTTCGAATCAAAACATAAACGTGCTTCTGTGCAGCTATTTAATTTTGAAAAGACGGAATTTAAGAGGTATTACTTTTATTTTATTTACAACAGAACAATTTTGAATTATGTCTTTTATTTACATATATGTACATATGTACATTTCTATTAAGTTTGATAAAAATCTTAAATTTGATTTTATGTTTAAAAGGTTACTCTAGAAGTTCCAGGGACTCCTGTCCAAATAACAAACTCACCCACTACCCATAGAGGCTTGGTGATCCATGTCATCGGTAACGAAGTCTTGTCGACATATTATATTAAAGAGGAAATTCTATTTGTCTACGTGTTGGCTTGAGGTTCGCTGGCTGCCCCAGTGCCAGGATTAGGTACGATTGTACAATCAGTCATTTATCTTACATCGCATAATAATAGAAACCACAAAGAGAAATAACGAAACCCGATAACGGATAAGTTGAATTCAAGTATTTGTTTTAATTCGCAACAAAGACGAAATATCTGACACAAGCGTTTAAAATATTTTCGAAAAAGTTAAAAATCTACATACTGAAAGATACTAAATTTTCATTTCAACGAAAAAGTTTGACCCATATTTTATCTGTTATAAAAAGCTTCCATTCGTAACCTGCACCAAAAACTATGGCAGAAGTAAAAGGCAAAGCTCGTTTCAACTTTCTATCTGCTTTGACTTTAGCAATGGATGGTTTACAGATCCATTTTTATAGATATGAGAATGTCTGAATTAAATCAGTTATTTGAGTGTAAYACAGGGTTTGTCCGGAAAGCAAGAAAATGAACACCATGCTTATTGTCTTTTTTGACATTAAAGGGATCGTTCGCCATGAATTTGTTCCTCATGAACAAATCGCCAACGCCGATCGAAGGGTCAGTCGGAATTCTATTTAAGTTTTAAAACAAAATTTTGAAAAAAAGATAAATTTACCTCCCGTCCATAAATGAATACGAAAAGAGAATCTCCGCCGAAGATAAGCATTAGTTGAATTTGACAAGTTATTGACAAGCTATTGACATTATCTAAAATTAGTATAATCGCCATAGGCAGCATTAGCTATTGCCAACAATAGGATCTAAGTGCTGACAGATCTTTCAATCGTTAATCATGCGGAAAAAGAATCAGAGAATTAATAGTGCTTTAGTGTTGTTGAACTCTTTAATTTTTAAGCGGTAGATACCTATTATGCTGTGGTTAACTCGGCTATAATCGCGTAAGCTATTTACGCCAATTAAGAAGAAGAAGAAGAAGACACCTATTATTATAATCGGAAATCATAGCATATTTTAATTTTTTTAATATAATTTTGGAAAAGGTTTATTTTCTAAATATCTTAGCTAAAATTGCATTACTTTTGGTTATATGAAAAAAAGTAATTAACAACGCGTATGTGCATATGAAAATAATATTTATTGTAAGAGAAAATATGAGGTCGAAATAGGGAGAATTCTTATATTCATTGAAAAGAAAAAAAAATATAAAACATAAAAAATATAAGATGCGATTATATCAGCACGACTTCAAAAGCAACTCAGTCGTCCAATTGGCAGAGGGAGGCGGTGCCCCGATTGATCCAGTGCATTGGTGCCTTACTGCAATTCAATTGCATGTACATCACAAAATTGGTGGAGTGACCAGTCGTTGAGAGTACACCACGCCTCTCGCTTGTCTTATAAACCGGGCAATCGTAGATGGTACGCCCTTTGTCGTCTTCCTTGGCCGCCTGTCCACCATCCTGTGACTGTTTCAAGGTGGGACGAAAATATATCACCGGCAATGTATCGAACAGAATTTTTGAGTAGGATTCATCTAGCTCTTGGGTTTCACGATTGTAGCGTGCGCCTTCCAAGAAGAGACCCTGTGGGACGGCAAGTAAAATATTAGTCTTGTTCAGTTTTTTTTATGTAAATACCAAAATTTGTTTTTGACTTTATGAAATGAGAAATAGCGATTTTTAATATATAAAATGATGTCTTGTAGTAATATTTTTTGTGYCGACAATTATTTTCTWATTCCCTGTCTCATTTAATTAAAARGCTTGATTTTGSGTTTCTTTAATTTAAAAGAAAAGGTGATGATTAAAGAACTAGTATATACACGTACAAAAATTTCTATAGTTTAAATCTTACATTGAAAAATTTTGTCTCATCATTGATAGACAGTTGCTCCTGTGTAGGTTTGTTGTGTGTAAGCATGTGTAATAATAATATTCATGAGTATATATGCATATATTAATAGATGACATTTTTATAGTAATATCGTATGTACTTATGTATAAAAAATCTTAAAATGTAAGCATCGGCATAAATCTTCACTGCTTAACTCACACGTATGTATGCGCCAAAGCTTGGTAGTTTTTCAACTTCCGTCTCGAACTTGGTCACTTCGAATTTGATTTCAACCATATCAATTTGAAAAGTGTTCTTTCGTGAGTAATTTTGTAATACACCAGTGATAAAGGATTGAGTGAAATAAAAACCCGACAGCCAATAAACAGTTGGTTCGCCCTCGTCAATCCAACGTTGAAAGAATTCCAAGCTAGAAGAGCGAAAAAGGTTTTTTACAAGCAAAATGAAAGCAGCTCGTTAAAAGACAAGTGTTTTCAATTTCGCTAAAAAGTACTTAAATGAATGTAGCCAAACACAAATGATGATACTGCCGACTTATTATATGGAGAAATTATAATAAAAGTTAAGTTTTTAATATCTTGGTAATATTGTAAATATTTCAAATCTAATTTCTTCCAAATTTTATTAAAACGTATATTTGCCTTGTATTATTTCATATATAATAATTTCTAAGCAACATCACAACACTTACTACGATATCTACCTACGTCACTGCCATACTATGATGATAAGTAGAGTGTGCATACGAATCACAACGAGTGCTTTCAAACGAAGCTCAATGTATGAGTATTTGTTCAAATACTTCTATGAATTGTGTTCAATCAGCTTAATGCGCAAATAATTCGATATTATTGCTAGGAAATACAAAATAGAAGAATCTGCTCAAAGTGTAATGGAAGCAAAAAAAAAAAAAAATAAATAAATAAATAAAATAAAATAAAGGCACTGCGATGTGCAGAATCGTTATAAGTAAAATACCAATATTGTTACTAAACTTGAGACTTATTGTGGAGTTTCTATTTAAAAATATCTGCTCTTCAACGCAGAAAGAACTTTCAATAGTTTCTTAATTAGATCATTATTAATTCTAAATATAAAAAAAATTATCGGCTAATAAATTTGCACAATGCCGTCAAATGAGATGGAGTGGGTAGTTCGGGTTCATGGTTAGAGATGGTCAAAGCATGGAATCGAACTATGCTGAGTTAATATAGGTATTTTGTAAACGTTGCAAAACACCGAACTATATAGATTTAGAGATGGTATATCAAAATATATTTAATGAATCCAAATAGTTTAAAGTCGTCGTTATAATAGAAGGGAAGAAGAACTAATAAAAACCTATTTGGGAATTCATTCAGAAAGTTCAACTAACACCACCAACAAATCTATACTTTAGACAGAATTGGTATCAAGTATTCTATAGCGAACATATCTCTACTGGTGGGTGACGTCGAAACGTCAAGCATCGCAGTGTCCGAACAACTTTTCACACAATCGTTGCCACCAAGTTCTTTGTCGGCTTAAACAATTGACAATAAATTGTATGCTTAATTTGGCGGTGTCAAGAATTGGAACGATTCTTCAAGAGATTTCGCGGTGAACGGGAGTAAGAACTGAGCATTATGAAGTGAACAACGCTGCTTAATATATTTTTTGCCGCACAATTGAAGACATAAAAAATTATTGTAAAAAATGATTTCCTTGGTAATAAATTTAATTTATGCAAATATGCAAAAGTTTGGGAAATAAACAAAACTTTAGAATTAATCAAAAAGCWTATATGTATGTATGTATAACTGAAACTTGATCAACTTACCGTGTTAGGAAATCCGTAACGTAGCTGCCCAGTGGCTTGAGCGATGGGTAGCTTTTCTTCAGCCAGTCGGCTGGTAATTTACCGATCACCATTGATGAATGTGTGCGCTCCAATTCGGGTATCATGGCGATTTGACCTTGTATGGCTTTTTGTACGTTGACGAGACTTTTGCGTATGTAATCCAACAAGCGATTGAATCTGTGGCAAGTGGCGACGTAAAAAGCAAATATATAAATACGCCAATTTAAACACAATGGAGGTTGCATATATATATATGAAAAATTAGCCGCAGCTTGCTCTTATGCGAATCGTCTACTCAATTGTGTTTAATTTTTGGCAAAGTAAACAAAGGTGTCTTCAAAAAGTGTTTATAACTTTTCTTTGTTAAACTGGTTACCCACTTTTTTATTTCTTTGGAGCTCAACAGTTTATTAAATGCGATTGATTTCAAAGAATTGATTTTGATTTCATTTTATAATAATTCATATAGTGACTGAAAATATTTTTCTATATTCGCGTAAAATTTCGCACCTCCATATATGCTTTATTTTTTAATCCGAAATAAATGGTGAAGTGGCATCAACCTGTACCAAAATATATCTCTATAACTATCTTCATAAGTTTTTCTCCAATAAAAGTTTGCATAAATGTTCTAAGCATTATGGGTATGGAATTGTGTTCGTATCCACTGTAAATCCAGGCACTGTAAACGTTCCAGAGTATTTCTGGGAATTTAGCCCCAATATCTTATAGAAATAAGTTTACAACATTTACATTCTGTGGAGTACCATAAATAGAAGGAATAACAGGTAAAGCAACAGGGGTATTAATTTAGAGCACTCTATCAAGCTTAGTACTTATGCTTTAGTTAAGTTGCATCATAAGTCAAATTTCATGTCAACAAACATTAAAAAAAATAATGGGTAAGATTTAAGCGTACAGTCAGACTTTCAAATACCAAAAAATGGGCCCAACAGCTGAGCAGGGTATTGAAAAGACTTAAGGTACACCCTAATATATGTATAGACAAACCATCAATCTACTTACCTTATCAGCTCTTGTCGCAGTACCGTATTCATGGAATTTGTATACATCACCGGATACTTTTGACCCACTTCGGTAATATTAAAGGCTTGTGGTAGGCGTGACAGAATTTCTTTGCATATGGCAAATGCCGGGTCAACGCTGGCGCCACCCGCTGCGCCACTTGCTTTCACTGAAGCCATTAAATCCGTTTGGGTAAGTAATACACCTCCAATCAACTGTGTTTTAGTGTAGTGGAAACAAATTTATATTTAATAGATGAGATTTGAAATAAATATGCGCCCGTCCAGAGCTTTCGTTGCTAAGTGT